TGAATTGAACAGATTCGTCTCCTGCCAAGGAGACTAGCCACAGAGATGACACCTCAGAGATCTGCACCTTCTGGTATTCATGTCCCTTGTTTCGTCTCCTCCCTTCGTGAGTCAGGGCCAGCCCTGAGTGACCAATAGAATACAGTGAAGTGATGTTGCGTGGCTTCTGAGGCTACACCATAAGAAGCCTTGCAGCTTCCACGTTGGTCTCATGGAACACTCACTCTTGGAGCCCTGAGCACGTTGTATGGAGTCCAACTACCCTAAGGCCACCTTGTAAGAGAGACTGCGTGGAGCGGCTCTGAGATTTCATGTAGAATGATTCCTGGCCAGCACCCCAGCCATTTGAGTCATCCCAGCTGAGGCTTCAGATGTCCTGTGGAACAGAATTGAGTTGTCCCCACCAAGCCCTGCCTAAAAGGCAGGTTCACGAGTAAAAGAAAAATTAAGTAATTGTTGCTTTAAGTGATTAAGTTTCAAGTGGTTTGTTATGCAGCAACAGATGACTGAAACATTCCTCCTTCACTTGATGTGAAGTATCTCCTTAGGTGAGTGCAGAGTGAGCAAGGATGTGTCAGGTTAACTCAAACATAGGGAATTTTCCAGTCATCATTGCTGGCGTAGTTGACTTATTCATGCTGTAGGGATACACTGCTTTAGGACTGTCCTCTTACTTATTTATTTGAGAGGAGGGTCTCATTCTGTCGCCCAGGCTGGAGTGCAGTGGCATGATCTAGGCTCACAGCAGCCTCTGCCTCCCAGGTTTAAGCAATTCTCCCACCTCAGCCTCCCGAATGGGTGGATTATAGGGGTGCGTCACCACACCCAGCTAATTTTTGCATTTTTAGTATGTTTAGTCGTTTCACCATGTTGGCCAGGCTGGTCTCAAACTCCTGACCTCAAGTCATCCACCCGCCTGAGTCTCCCAAAGTGCTGGGATTACAGGCATGAGCCACCGCGCCCGGCCAGGACTGTCTTCTGAGAAGTAACACTTCTGTGGTTAAGACTTAGGGGATCCAGAGCCATCTCTGGAGCTTGTGGCCAGGTGTAAACCACAACTCAACATTTAAATATAGATGAATGTATACATTAAGCTGAACACGAAGGGCAGCCTTCTATAGAAAAGAAGTCACAAGAGTATAAACAACAGGAGGAGTACAGGCAGAAGAAGCAACCAACTTCTACCTGAACTCTGCAGAGTTAGAGTTCCCTTTTCAGGACCTGCCTCCCACCCATATCTGTAACACGCATGTTTGGAATTCATGCCTGCAGCTGCAGCAATGTGACCGGGGTACACACCAATCCAGAGCCAATGTAGTGACTAGTGACTGAAACACTCCTTCACTTGCTGTGAAGTATTTCCTTAGGTGAGTGATACGATTATCTCCTTTGAGAGTCTGAGACTAGCATGCCCTTGGACAGAAAGGCTATGAGGAATCAGGGTGGGATAGCTGTTGTCAGCCATGTAAATGCTGATGAGTAAGTAGAGAGCTGGTTTGCAAAAATAAGTAGTGATGAGAATTCATGGGAGCAGGTGAAAAAGAGAGGAGGAAAGAAAAAAAGAAAGAATAACAGAGAAAGAAAAAGGATGAGACAGCACTAGTACTAGCTCTGTTCATTAGCTTTCTAGTCCCCAGTTCTTAACATTTAATTTAATTTTTTTGGCCGGGCATGGTGGCTCATGCCTGTAATCCCAGCAATTTGGGAGGCCAAGGCGGGCGGATCATGAGGTCAAGAGATCGAGACCATCCTGGCCAACATAGTGAAACTCTGTCTCTACTAAAATACAAAAATTAGCTGGGCGTGGTGGCGCATAGTCCCAGCTACTCGGGAGGCTGAGGCAGGAGAATTGCTTGAACCCAGGAGGCAGAGGTTGCAGTGAGCCAAGATTGTACCACTGCACTCCAGCCTGGCACCTGGCGACAGAGTGAGACTCTGTCTCAAAAAAAAAAAAAAAAAAAAAAGTGAGGATAAAATTAAAAAGAGTGATGGTGATATGGGAATGAACAGAAAAAGGACTTTATCTTCACTTTTAAGGGTCCCTGAAAAGATCACTGTTGGATATAGGTTCTATTGTGGGTTTGAGCTTTTCTCATTAATGAATACTTCAAAATAGTGAGAGTTTCAGAGGCTGTTTCTCTTAAATTCGTTTGTTACATTGTTTGTTGATGAAAAGGAATAGCATCACTGTGGGACAGAGTTCCCATAGGCATCAGAAGGCAAAGGCAGATACTTTTTATTTCAGATGAATGAGAGAGGAACAAACTTAAGGCAGGAGGAGGCACTGGGAAACACAGGCTCTGGGTTTTTCCAGTCCCTGCTCAGCCACTCTCATCGCGACCACAGATTCATCCCTTCACCTCTCCGGATCTCTGTTTCCTCTGTTACACTACGTGGTGGTCACAGTTATACAGTTATATCTGGTCATGGATATTTTATAATCATAGATTATTTTATAAATTTTATCTATGATTATAAAATATCTAATGAGGATCTTATCCAAAAACATCTTCACATAAAACTTTCATCTCACTCTGAAGGAGAAAACGTGTGTCCTGGGTAAAGACTCTATTGCCTAAGATCTGGAACTTAAATTTGCAGTAATTTCTAATACTTAAGCACATGAAGTTTTCTTCCCGATTGTGAAATAAAGGACAGGAAATAAAAAGGGGAACATTCTTCATGTTCAAATTAAGTCGGCTGGGCGCAGTGGCTCACCCGTGTAATCCCAGTACTTTGGGAGGCTGAGGCGGGCAGATCACCTGAGGTCAGGAGTTCAAGACCAGCCTGGCCAATACAGTAAAACCCCGTCTCTATTAAAAATACAAAAATAAGCTGGGCATGGTGGCATGTGCCTGTAGCCCCAGCTACAGGAGGCTGAGGCTGGAGAATCCCTTTAACCTGGGAGGCAGAGGTTGCAGTGAGTGGAGATCGTGCCATTGCACTCCAGCCTGGGTGACAGATCGAGACTCCATCTCAAAGAAAAAAAAAAAAAAAGAAGTCGGAGGCTCATTTAGGATACAAACTAGACGTGAATAAGTGTGGGAAATTTAAAACATAACCAAATTTGAACCTCAAGTGATCAGCATTTGATGTCATACTGAGATGTCAAAATACTGTTTCTCAGAGAAACTGACTTACCTTTCTTTTCTGTTACATAGGCAATGCATGTGTATTGCAGTAAAATTCGACCCACATCTAACAAATATAAATATTTGGTGTGTGTATTTTTAAATATATTCTCACAAACCCTGTGCCATTTGCTTAGAACAGATCTGATTGTTCATATGCAATGCTTATGTCCTCAATGAGGCTATAAACTCCATGAGGAGAACTCCTTTACCATAAATCCACATGCCTCCCACCCCCACAGTTCTGTCAGTTTCTTTGGGAAGAAATGGGGGAAACTTTATAAATACTTCCTTCACTAACACCCATGCATTCATTCATTCATTCACTTAATAAACATTGCAATGAGCACCTAGCTTGGACTTGGGCCAGGTGTCGGGGATTCAAAGGTACATCCACCCCTCCCCTTTTTTTGAGACAGAGTCTCCCTCTGTCACCCAGGCTGGAGTGCAGTGGTGCAATCTTGGCTCACTGCAACCTCTGGCTCCTGGGTTCAAGCGATTCTCCTGCCTCAGCCTCCGCGAGTAGCTGGGACTACAGGCACACACCAACATGCCCGGCTAATTTTTGTATTTTCAGTAGAGATGGATTTTTGCCATGTTGGTCAGGCTGGTCTCGATCTTCTGACCTTGTGATCTGCCTGTCTTGGCCTCCCAAAGTGCTGGGATTACAGGCGTGAACCTGTAATGATATATCTCACTGCTGAATTTTCTCAATTACTATGAGAATTACATACTTTATAGTATGTCTTAAAGGGGATGCACCTTTGGGCTGAGCGCAGGTGTTCATGCCTGCAGTCCCAGCAGGCATGAACCTATGAACCAAAGTATGTAATTACTTTCTCAGGAAAGTGACAATTCGGATAGGGAAACGATACACAATTAACTATTTTACTAAGAACTTGTGCAATTTTAGAACCATATGTGAAAGTCTTAAGAAAACACAGAAGGCGGCCAGGTGCCGTGGCTCCTGCCTGCAATCCCAGCACTTTGAGAGGCTGAGGCAGGATGATCACTTGAGCCCAGACGTTCAAGATCAGCCTGGGCAACATAGCAAGACCCCATTACTACTAAAGTAATATATATCTATATATATATGGCTGGTGGTGCTTGCTTGTAGTTCCAGCTACTCAGCAGGGAGGCTGAGGCAGGAGGATGGCTTGAGCCCAGGAAGTCAAGGTTTCAAGGTTGCAGTGAGTTGATTGTGGCACTGCAGCCTGAGTGACACAGCAAGGCCCTGTCAAAGAAAGACGAAAGAAAAAGAAAGAAAGAGAAAGAGAGAGAGAGAGAGACAGAGAGAGAGAGAGAGACAGAGAGAGAGAGAAAAGGAAAGAAAGAAAGGAAGAAAGAAAGAAAAGATAAAAAGCACAGAAGAGGATTGGGAGGTTATGGGGTACAGTTATTGAGGGGGTGACCCTGGCCAGGCAATGAGGGGGTTGTAGGAAGGGTGATAAGGGGAGAAGAGGATTTAGGAATACAAATTTCAGGGTCTTTTTGTGTCCGCAGGAATTTCTGTTCCCTCACAACTTTCCTCATAAGATAAATCTAATGTTCTACTAGAGACCGTTCCCGCGCCTTGAACTTGCAAATTTATGAACCAGGGGCAAAAAAACCCGGATGCCGAGCCTGGCCTCCCACCAGCAAGAGAGCCCACCAAGTCCCAGGAGGGGCGGGGCCAAGGGCGGGCCGGGCCAGAGCTGTGGGCGGGGTTGGTCGTGCTTGCGCCGGAACCGGCCCGCCCCGCCGCTAGGGGCTGACGGAGAAGCCAGGCGTGGATTGGTGTGTGAGTACGTCGGCCTCTCTTTATAGGCCGCGCAGGACTACTCGAGACGCTTTAATTGGCTCAAGAGGCGCTGAGCGTTCATTGGCTGGGCTGGGTCGTCCGGGCGACGAAAAAGGGGAAGGGGTGCGGGGCCTGGCGGGCAAACTGAGGCTACGGACTGTTGGGTGGTTCCGTCAGGCGTTGTCGGGAGAGCTGCGGAGCCAGGTGTCCAGAGTTCACGCCACACTCCAGGAGGTGCCTGAGCGAGTGAGCCGGCCAGCGAGCCCCGCGGGTTGGGACCATGGGCTGCTTCTTCTCCAAGAGACGGAAGGCTGGCAGGGAGTCGCGGCCCGAGAACGAGGAGGAGCGGCCAAAGCAGTACAGCTGGGATCAGCGCGAGAAGGTAATGAAAGTCGTGTAGCCGCCTTCTCGGCCTCCCTGAGCCGCTCCGCCAGGGTCCTTTATGGCCCGGGACCACTGAGGGGGCCGACCCTACAGCTGCCGCACTCGGTTGAACGCGCGTAGCTGAAGTCCGGGTGCACGACTTTTTGGGACTCGGGGGCGTAAAGTACAGCGCTAGCGAGGGCGCCTGGAGGGCTGTGGAGCTCCGGAAGGAGTCTTAGAGTTTGTTGTCTTGTTAGACACACCCACCCAGGAGCTTTCTCGGGCTCCGAACCCTGCTGCCTTGCTCTGACTTCCTGTCGGAGATGATCGGTTCTAGAGAAGGAAAGAGCCGAGAACGCCCCGTATATCAAATCACCTAGTTTCACCCACTGGCAGCGCCAGGCGGGGTTTTGCCCAGTCGTCGAGTTATGTATGTGGGACTGATTCTCATCCCTTCCGGGGCTTAATGTGCTGTGGCTGTTTTCTCTTTTGTCTGCCCTCCCCGGTAAATCTCTTTGGTGCCTCATGATATATTTCACTGCTGAATTTTCTCAATTACTGAGTAGACTGTTTAATGTACGGCTTTATTCTCCCTCCGCTTCCAGTTATCCGAAAGAAATAATGACTATCGAATCAGTCTTAGAATGTGTATGAAGACTGTAAGGTGAAAATAAGCGGCATAAACCAGGTAGTATTTTCCTGCTGGTTTAAATGAATGAAAACGTCTTTATTTTCACTTTTGTATATAGCCAGAAACCAAAAAACTTTGAAAACGTCCATTAGTCTTACACAAAACACACTTGGTCATACATTTCACAATAGTTCCTCTTTCTACATTGTTCTTCATTTGTGCCTACTAAAATACTTTGATAGACTTACCAGTTATTGCTCCCAAACAAAATAAGGGATTTTTCAAATGAGTATTATGAACAGTTAACTCCTTGCTTAAGGCAACATATCTTTACCCAAGAATACTTTATAGTAAACGTAGTGATGTTTTGGAGTCACAGAACTTTCTGCATGATTTCCAATCCCCAAGAGAATGTATTCAGGTAAGCTCTGGTCTCCAAGAGTCAGACTGAAGAAATTGAAAGCTTTTTGCAGTTTTTCTCAGCCCCATCTTTCTGCCCCTACTTCTCATACACACCCTTCTTGGGTCACTCAGTACATTCTCTCTTAGTCATACTCGATAGCAGTTTTTTACAATGTAGGGGAAGAAAGTACTGTGCTGTCTGTTTCACAAGAAGATTGCACCTGCCATTTAAAGTTTCATAGGCGGTTTTTAAAAGATCACTAACAATGTTCTTTTAGCTTGAACTGTCTGCCACAGAGAAAGCTGTGTATTTTATTTTTATTTTAGTTTTTTCTTCTGAACCCAGGCTACATCTAAATTACATAAAATGCCTTTCTTTTTCATTTATAGTAGTCTTGGTTGCCTATGTATGACTCATCGTTTCACAATAAATTGTTTTACAGTTAACGTTTATTAACATAATGTTTGGGTTAGTTGGGATTTCTCATGTTAATCCTTCTTTTAGATAAGTGGGTGTGTCCTGGTTTTTTTTTTTTTCTTCTTTTGCCCATTGGCTGAGTAAATGCATTGAGAAATAAAATACTGGACACCAACATCTAAGCTTTTTCCTTACAAATGAGTGTGTAGTAAGCTTTCAATTGTAGACACCGTTTTGAGCTTACAGAGAACATTTTTTTTTTTTTTTTTTTTTGAGAAACTACTAAGTTCTGTAGTTGTAGAGATGTAACAGATGTTACTGGATATGTGAAATAAGCTCATGCTTCTGGATGTGTGTATAATAAACGTCAAAATCTTAATCAACTCAGTGAATCAAAATGAGAATTTCTAACCAAATGAGCATTATATTCTGAAAATAACCCAATTTTAAAATCTTTTGGACTATTAAAGAGAATTACCGGCTTACGTTTTGAGACAATGTAGATACCACATTTCCCAACGTAGCTTTTTCTTTTTGGATTTTTTTTTCTTTTGGAATTACTAGGAATTCTTTCTAAGGTGCCTCATTTAAGATAGCTTGTTAAATTTTATACAGTTTAAAATATTTTTTTCTAGGACCAGGCATGGTGACTCATGCCTGTAATCCCAGCACTTTGGGAGGCCAAGGCTGGTGGCTCTCTTAAGCCCAGGAGTTCCAGACCAGCCTGGGCTACATGGCGAAACCTCATTCCTACTAAAAATGCAAAAATTAGTGGGGCATAGTGGTGCATACCTGTAGTCCCAGTTACTCAGGAGGCTGAGGTGGGAGGATCACCTAGCCCAGGACTTAGAGGCTGCAGTGAGCCATGATTGGGCCACTACACTCCAGCCTGGGCAACAGAGTGAGACTCTGAAAAAAAAAAATAATAAAATATGTTTTTCTAGTTCCTTGCCTCCCATGAGGTCAATTTGGGCTAGTGTGCAAATGTTCTGTATGACTCCAGTGATACTTTTACTGAGCATGGTCTTGTACCTTAAAAGGGACAGAATGCAAATATAGCCCAGAGAACATAAATGAGATATGATGCATGCATATTAATAGAAATGATTTGTATTAAAAGTTTAGGCTTCTGGAATGTGATCATGGATTATAGAATAGACAGTTTTAAAGTTCTATCAGACAATTACCATTCAACTTGTAAGACTTTTAAGTGTAAAAACAAAATGGGTTGCCTGAAAAACTTCCTTGCAACTTGGAAAAGGGTATTTATATTTTTCCTTAGGTTGTGTAATCAGAGTATCATTTTTTTTTTTTTTTTTTTTTTTTTTTTGATATGGAGTCTCTGTTGTTGCCCAGGCTGGAATACAGTGGCGCGATCTCAGCTCACTGCAACCTCTACCTCCCGGGTTCAAGTGATTCTCCAGCCTTAGCCTCCTGAGTAGCTGGAATTACAGGCGTGCACCACCATGCCTGGTTAATTTTTGTATATTTTTAGTAGAGACAGAGTTTCACCATGTTGGCCAGGCTGATTTTGAACTCCTGACCTCAGATGATCTGCCCACCCTAGCCTCCCAAAGTGCTGGGATTACAGGCATGAGCCATTGCGCCCAGCCTAGAGTATCTTAATTGAGGTACACCCCTTGGGTTTTGGGGTTTGAGTTGTGTAATTGGGTCAGCCTTAGGGGACTGAAGCTGAGAGAAATTGTCTCAATTAGAAAGAATATTTGGGGACTAAGCATTGTCATAGCAACTGACATACTGTAGTCAACAGTGTAAGAAGCTCATTTTCTATTGCTGCTGACTTTGAAAAAGAAGATAGTTTACTGTACAATTTCTACACTGATGTAATGAGAAATATTTTTGGATTGTAAGACTTGTGTTTACATTATTTCAAAAGAAATGTTTTTATCCTTATCTGTATGATGCCACCCATAGGTAGGCAAATTATTCAGTACATATGTACTCAAACACCAAGTAAGACTCAATTATAGGACTTATCCCTGCCCTGCAAGAGTTTACTGGCTTTCTGGAGTTAAAACAGGAAATATTTAAGTACACATGAGGTGAGGAAAAGTGGTACAGAAAAGTGGTTTTCATCTTCCAGTTATTCATGCCCATAGTCTTCCTCCTAGGTACTAGAAATGAGGATTAACTCTCTAAACAATGATGGCTTAAGTATGAAAATTGTGATTTGAGTGTAGACAACACATGTTGTATGTGTTATATTTGCCTCATGTTCAATAGAAATAATACTAAACAAAAACCTTATGCCAGAAATTCAACTATCTATTGTGTAACTTTGGGTAAAGCAGCCAATTTGTGCACTTCACATTCCTCAGCTATGTAGTAGAAGAAAGCTAAAGATTTCTCTACTGTTTAGTAAGGTTAAGGCCTGTTCTGAAGAAGAGGTTTTAGATAATAACGGTCACCTTGAGGAAAGAACTTAAACCAGAGGTTGGGCATGACAGAACTGGTTTTAATATAAGGCAGGTCATAATTCCCAGAGTTGGTCATCAGTGGAAGGGGTAGCTTTGTTGAGGACCCGATCTTCTTGTTAGTTAAAACTTTCGGACAGTTGGGGTGATCATCTGCTAGAAAGAAGTGTCTGTACTGAGTAGGAGGAGGCTAGATACTGTTTTTATCCTTCTTTTAAGTATGAAAAGTATTCTAGTTACCCATTGCTGTGTACCAAAGCACCCTAAAACTTAATGGCTTCAAATAATGGCAAATATTTTGTTCACAACTCTTTAATTTGTGTAAGGTTAAGCAGGGTGACTCTGCTCAATGTGCTATCAGCTGTGACAGTTTTCAAGATGGCTTGACCACCTAGCTGGCTGGCAAGTTGATGCTGGCTTTGGGCTGGGAGCTCAGCTGGGGCCTCCCCATGTAGCCCTGGCTTCCTCACAGTGTGATGGCAGGGTTCCAAGGGCAAGCACCCTAAGACAGACTGGCAGAAGCTGCATGATTTTTTCTAACTAGATTCTTAAGTGAATTCTTAAGTCACTTAATTTGACTTAATTTGAATGTGTCAGAAGTAATGCTGAGACTGTCACAGATGCCCACCCAGTTTCAAGAGGAGGTGACCTCTTAATGGGAGGAGTGTCAGAGAATTTGCCAGTAGGTTTTAAATCTTCTGCATAAAGTTGTTTAAAGGATATAACTAGCTCTTTGTTTGTTAACTTTAAAAATAGCTTTTTAGAGATATAATTCATATGCCATACAGTTTATCTATTTAAAGTATATAATTCATTCTAACTGTATTTTTTTTTTTCTTGAGATGGAGTCTCCCTCTGTTGCCTGGGCTGGAATGTAGTGGTATGATGTCAGCTCACTGTAACCTCTGCCTCCTGGGTTCAAGCGATTCTCCCACCCCAGCCTCCTGAGTAGCTGGGATTACAGTCACGTGCCACCATGCCCAACTAATTTTTGTATTTTTTAGTAAAGATGGGCTTTTGCCATGTTGGCCAGGCTGGTCTCGAACTCCTGGCCGCAAATGATTGGTCTGCCTCAGCCTCCCAAAGTGCTGGGATTACACTTTATTTCAGAACTAGTAACTTGCAAAATTATG